CGCGTATTTTATAAATCAATCTTTTCACAAATATCTACACTACTTACTGTTTCATAATCTGATAAATTAATTTATTAATACGAGATATTTTTCAATACTACATTCCCTACCGCCATCTGCTGAATAAATTATCAAACTAACTACTATCGTAAACCTACTTTACCGTCATACAGTTATTGGCTAACAAATTTTTTTTGTTTGCCTCTACACGCATGCATAGCAGGAGAAGTAATTAATATATTATGAATTAATGTAGGAGTAATGATGAATTTATAAAAAGGAAGCGCACAAGAATATTCACTCGTATCTTCTATAAAATTATCCTTTGGTAGTTAAAAAAAATGTACATTTTATTGAAAAATAATGGAACTATATATAATTTTTAAAAATTCAACAAATTGTTTACAAATCTTGACAAATTTCCATTGATTTATTCGAAATATTAGGTTTGTCACGAAGTGTAGTGTTTTAAATATTTTGCAAAAGATTAGTTTTATCTAAATGTAAGGAAATAAAACTGAAAATATTATGGCGATAAAAATAGAATATTAACAAATTACTAATTTCTGTTCATTATTTGAAATAAATTATCAATTATTATTTGAAAAACATAGAAGATTTGAGTAATAATAGGAGAATTACAATTTCAAGAATTATGTGATAGTTTAGTTTACAGTTTCCTCGATCCTTCATTATATTGTAAAAGTATTGCGCAAAAATTATTTCACTGCTGACCAATCGATTATTTTACATTATTTGATATATTTAACATTTAATATCTCGCCAAAAGAATTATGTTTTAATGAATTTTCATAAATTAGATTTGAATGTTTGCAAGTATTATTGAAGCGTAAATTATCCTCAGTATATATACTCAATATATTATTTATTGAAAATGAAAAAAATTAGAAATTAATGTAATGATAATCCGAGTTTTATGAATATCAGAATTTTTATTAAATTGTATATATAATTAATAATTAACAATTAATAATAGAATTTATTTAATAAAATCTTTTTATTCAATTTAATCTAATTTAATATGAACATATATGTATTTTTATGATACCGATAGGGAAAAAATTTTTTAAAATTTTCATTATTTTTCAATTTAAGCATGCTTATAAAATAATATTCTGACATTCCAAATAAGAATATATTTATATAGGACAGATGGAATACATGGAATGTACTATGTACTATAGTACTTTAATCGACAACCATAACTTCAGTAACAACTAGAATAATCACGAATGAATACAACAATGTTCGAATTGACATTTATATACATCCATTATTATTAATTTTGGTCAATTATGATGTTTTTTTTTTCTTTTTCTTTTTTTTTTTATCTCCGATAGATTTTTGTGTAATAATAGATTTATTTATAAAATAATTTAGCCTTCGTATAGGAATAATTAATAGGATGAAAATATTGTGAAAATAAAAATGCATCTATAGCCATTAATTTAATTTATCGAGCTACTACATTGCGGGTGGAGGCTTATTTGGAAATTAGGTTATTTATTACGTGAATGTATAAACATGCCAAGGAATTCAATAATATTAAACCAAGAAGTCATAATTTCATATTTATTAAAATTATATTCTGTCACAAAAATTACAATTACAAATAAAATGTAACATTGATGCATAGCACAACTCATTAAACTCTGCTTTACATTATTCGAATGACACTTTTTTCTCGATTTTTCTCGATTTTTCTCGATTTTTCTCGATTTTTCTCCATTTTTCTCCATTTTTTAACTCAATCATACAAGTTTCTCATATAATTTCATAGGAATTATATATAAACTTTATTTTTGCAGGATGAAAATAGAATGGCACATAATGTAAGTAGCTTGATAATGCAAATTTTCTTTACGGATAATGGAAAAGCATTAATCTTACAGTTATAGCTTTATATAATTATTATAATGTTTTTTAAAGGTAAAAAAGAAAATTTTAATTCAATTTTTTTACTCGATATAAGTAATTCAGAGTAAATATTCTTAGAAATTACGTTCAATCTAAGGCCACAAAAATATAAATGCTCTTTTATTATATGATTATAATAATTAAAAAGTAATGCATTTTGGAAAATTAAGAAATTAACTATTTTTTTTAAGACTTTTTAATTGTAAATTTCACTTTATCAATATGTTAAATAAAAATTGAATATAATTCTATATAAAACGATTGACAGATTTAATATTTTGTTGGTATCAAGTATGAAGCATTTTAATCGTTACATTTATCCACATTATTTATCCGCATTCACATGCACACATCAATAATATTTTCGACCGAATCTCGTCATAATCATCAGTACGCAATTAACAAGAATATGTTGATGTTGTTGTTGTTTTTTTTTTCTTCGTTTTTTCTTGCATTTCAGAGCATTAGTCTAAGCTATTTATATAAATTCGATACTATTTGACTTTTCGGTTATTTGGTTTAATACGTGGTCTGGCTGATTAGAAAGCATTTCCTTTTATGCTTACAATCTTATTTATATAAAAAATCAGAATAGTTAACAGATTCGTTTAACAGTTTACAATTACATACTTTTCTCTACATTGAAATTCAATGTTCAATTCAATTGTTGAATAATCTTTATATGTTATTAAAGAGGGTAAAAAAAGCTTCTCAATTAGAATTCTCTTTAAATTAAAAGTGAAAATAAATTTGTTCCAAGATATAATGGTTTTCAAACTATTTCCTTTTTAAGAAAATGTTCGCTTTATCAAATTCATAAATTTTAGTCATTTCGAGGAATAAGATGTATTTTTCGTGAAAATTGAATTTATTTCAATATTGAAATATTGAGCGTTTGAACGTCTCAATATTAGATAATTACAAATATTATCATTGCTCCGTAATTGAGAAGATAATTTTTTTTAAAATTTCGTTTAAAAATTATATTTAGCTATAAATAGATATGTAATTTCTTATGTATGGGAGGATCAATGAACTGAATTGGGAAAGCCTAATGTAACAATAAGCATTTGAAGTTGACAATAATTGTAGAGCGTCATTTATTATTATTGTATTATTCTCCGCTCGTAGACAATAATTAAAAATTTGGAACATTGTATCTAGTTGTTATTAGTTTATCTAATTTCCTACATCGCCGCTCTTATATTATAGAAATATTATCAACACCTACTTATTAATCGTTTTTGAAGTGCCAAAGCTCACAGTCTCTTAGATTATGTACACACGGCAACATTTTTATTTTGGCAAGTATATACATATACATATATATACATATATATATATATATATATATATATATATATATATATGACATAATTTACTGATAATAAGTAAATACTTCCATTGTTTGATGAAGGTAAGATAATAATGTAGCTGCTTGGCACTTAAACTTCATTCTTATATGCTCATAAGTATTTTATCTTTCTTCTTTTTACTTACCTAAGAAGATCTTATGAAGAAAATTTGATATAGCTAAGTAATTTTTGTTTCGTGTATTATGGTACTTTATCATTGTATATTCATAGTAAGAAAAAAAAATGAATAAAATATGAAGGATGAACGAGGATTGCAGTATCGCGTTTTATTTCATTTATATTATAAATTATAAACTTACAAAGAATAATTAACATATGATTACTTAGCGGCCCCTTAGACACTTATTTGTTTGAAAAATAACTGTAATATACGAAGAGAAATTTTTTCCATTTGTATATTAGAAATTTTAACGAATAATTAATAATCTAATGAGCGTATGCATTAGTCCTAAAGTTAATTATTCTGTTTTATGGACTTTGCAATTTTATAAAATCTAATTAAAGTTTGTCGCTTAAACAATTCATTCGTGATCAAGAGTGATAACATTGTTGTATACGTGTGGGAGCGTGCGTGTGTGGGTGTTTGTATAAAGGTATATTTTATTGAAATTTTAGATTACAATTTACTAGTAAAAACATAAAATTACATAAATTTCTAGAAAAAAAAAACAGTATTGTTAGGTAGATTATAGTCGTTTGCATTCGATTAATACTTTCACTGAATGATGAATACTTAATAATAAGTTCACAATCATTAATTTTCTTATATTATTATATAATAATGTTATTTTGTTATTAATCCATTGCTGAGTAAATATTTGTGTAAATTATACGGTAGTCTGATGGTAAACGTAAAGCACATTCAAAGAACATAAGCTTTCGAATGTAAATTTACATAGTTGGTTTTGAAAAGAAAAAGAGATGAAAAATAAAACTTTAATAATTTAAGTTGCATTGTGAAAGAAAAAATGAAAATAATATTTTAATGCACATATTTTTAATCGAAGAAAATTCTTATAGTTTCCGCTACACTTTCCATTAATTTTGTTTTTACATTTTTTATTATAGCGTAGAAAACTTTTAATTTTTAATGGAAATTCACGTAATAATTTGACAGAGAAATTCATAATATTAAAATAATGACATAATTCATTAATTTATATCCATGAAAGTCATTAGATTGTAAATGTTTAACGAACCTTCAATCATTCGTTTATTTAGTTGATTATTCTTATCATATAATAGTTGATCTTAAACTTAATATAAAATAATCCAATAATTATAATGTTGAGTAGATTAATATTAAAAATGTCGTCGTACTATCATCGATAGAATTTCGTCTTTCAAAGTATTTGATCCAAGTAACCTACTCTTAACATTAATTTTATTTTATATATTGCAATTTCTCCCAAATAATCTTTTTTCTTTGTGGCGATAATTAAAGTATTCGTTAAGAATAATATTATTTCCAAATTATTCCCCAATTACCAAATTACCATAGAAATGTAAAAATGACAAATATTATCTTTATTTTTCAATCGAATGACATGACATGACATGATAATTCCGATTAGTTTAATACCACCAGAGAGAAAAAAAAGTACCTTATAAGGAAAACTGGTTACTAATTTTAAATAAAAAAAAACGAACATTCGCAGAAAAAAATTTAACGTCGGATGAGGTCGTAAGATATAATTTTTCATCCCCTGTAGAAATGACATATGCGCATTTAAAACAATTACTACTGAATTGAGCAGGTCAATGGATGTGTCAGTGCGTGGTCCAGTAATATGGGTGTTCCAGCTGCCAATTCCGTCCTCGCCTCTCCATACTCATCATCGTAGTCGAAATAGTTGCTCTGCGAAACATGCAAGCGTACCTTTTTTATTATTTTTATTCGTTAAATGCAATTTACGAATTTTAAATAGTCGATATTTATTTTTCATTTTTCACTTTTCTTTCAATCATCAAGCTTTGTGAATTTAATTAATAAATAAATCATATCAAAGTTTTCTTCTTCTTTTTTTTTTTTTTATACACACGCAACATCCCATTTACGAAACAATAATGATTTTCCATCATTCAGCGCAGCATTTAAGATTGAATTTTACTTTCAAAGGAATATCAAATAGATATTCAATCAAATTAAATTGCACAACAAAAATATTATTATACTTTCACGTTATTTTTTTTATGTTTGTTCAATAAATTTTTACCTTCAAAGTATATTTATTGACCATGCTACAATTACGATTATTATTATTATTATTATTATTATTATTATTATTATTATTATTATTATTATTATTGTTAATATTTTTTAATTACTTGGACATTTTATAAGAACACCGTAGTATCTAGAGTTTCGCAGATAAATTTTGATAATTAGAGTGAAATAATTATTAATTAAATGAGCTTTATTTATTGCCGGTCTAATAACGAAATTAGAAAATAAATTTGAAAATAAAACCAAGGCAGAAGAATTTATTGCCATTTAATAAAAGTTACGCAACTCTTTAGTCTGCTTTTGCTTTTATCTTTTTGCTTGTATTTAAACAAAAAATTCCAGACGTACTATCGTAACAAAAATGTGCTATTTTCAGATAAAGAAATTATTTTCCCGTAAAAATGTGTAGTTGCTCTGTATTTTTCTCTAATGCAATTTTGTAATAATTCTGTAAGAGTATGGAGACTATACGTACCCAAGCTTATGTTTATTAAATAATTACTATTAAAAGAGTAGTAGTATTTAGAACGAAAAATTGACTTAAATACAATAAATAATGGAACAAAATGGAAAATCGATTTTAAAATTCAGTTAAACTGCCATTTTGTATACACGTTTGTAGGTGCTTGAGTTTCGAATCTCAAAATGCGATTAGCGAAAATTATTTAGTTTTATCATCAAAAGCTAATAAGTTCCTTTTCAACGGCTAATTTGATAATAGGCGAGTTTAATCTCTTTGAAACCAGCTGTATTTATGATTATCAAAGCTTGGAATATTTAGATTTTTAATGAAAATCGAATGAAAGTCGGGTAGGATCCGTGAGCGAATTTTGCGCTACAATTACCGTATTCGTTAGGAGAGTTTTTACGAGAAATTAGAAATTCCGAAAAAATAGGGATGAAAGTAATCGAAGGCCAGGGGGCTAATTTGACCTTAAAAAAAAGAAAAAAAAATCGCCGCTCTTATTAGAAGCGGAGTCGATCGGGGAGAAGTTTCGTAACACTATTTGGCAAGTTTATTAGCGTCTACCCATATAAAGCAGGTGAGACGGAGAATGGGATGTGAAACAGGAAGGAAATAAGAAAAGGGCAATCCTCGGTCGCTCCTCGAGCATTGAGCGATCGATGAACGAACGAGCATTACGAGCGACCACTGCCCCCACCTCTGCTGCCAACCCCCTTGAATCCCCGTCCCCCCGATCATCCGAAACACCCACCTGGCAGTCGATGCAGCGACAGCTGTCGCTCAGGGTGCAGGTCAGCCCAAGGATTTCCACAGCCTCCATGTAGAGCTCGGTGCTGGACCTACGTTGACGCGCGGGTGGCGACGTAGGGGCGCTCACGGAGCCGCGAGCGAGGCTCATCCCGGAAGTTGTGGCGCACGTCGCGCAGCTTCTAGGATCCGTGACCGTCCCCGTTCCCGCCTCCATCATCGTCGTCATAGCCGTCGACGTTGTTGCAATGGTCATTGTTGTTGCCGCCGCTGACATCCTCGTCGTCGTCCTCGTCCTCGGCATCGTCCTCGGCATCGTCGTTGTCGTCGTCGTCATCGTCGCCGTCGCCGTCGCCGTCGTCGTCGTCGTCGTCGTCGATTCGCTTACTTCGTCTATATATCTTTCGCTTTCTATCACGCTGCATAAACGTGATAATTAGATTCTTCGTCATCATAGTCGATGCTCTCGTCATCAACGTCGTCATCGTCGTCGTCGTCGTCGTCGTCGTCGTCGTCGTCGTCATTGTCGATGTCGGCGTCGTCTTCATTGTTCCCGTCGCCGTCACCGTGGCCCTTGCTATGATCCCAAAGTCCCGGATTAAGGATGACGTGGAGGTACCGCGCCGCTGTCGCTCATCCTTAGGGTTGGCACGGACGAGAGCTCGGCCTGCCGGTGACGCAAACAGCTGCAGCATGTCTATGTCCTGTTGGCATTAAAGTGTCTTTTTCGGCCTCGTTTTCACCATCGAGCAACTTCTTAGTTGACTTTTCATTCATCGGAGCTTTCACAGGCGGACTTTTGCTTTTGGGCGAAACTCAATCAGCTGAATGATCGATGATCGATCGAGAGCTCGCCTGTATAATCCTCGGCACAAAAGATATTGCTTTACCAAGCTTACATCGCGCCCATCTCACTTGATTAATACCCTAATGCTATTGTTGCTGATAAAGTCAGCACTTAATTATTTCCAATTAATCTCATTTATTCTTTTCATTTATTCTAAATATTCGCGCACTTTCTACTTCAGTTGATAATACAATTTCCTTGGGTGAGAGAATAATTTCATCGCAACAATGAAAATTATGTCTGTTGTATTTTATGATGCATTTATATAGAAATCAAGAATTTAAAATTCAGCGGATAAACAAGAACGTTATTAGTAAAAATTATGCGAAAACTCCGAGAGTTAATATTTTCTTATACGCTGTGTATTCTTAAAGTGAGTATGGAGCGAAGCGAATTGGATTTATCGATTCATCTATGATGCAAATGTAAGAAGATCGGGCATGTTGGTATTAAAGAGGAGAAAGAGAATGAAGGAAAGTAAAAGGAAAGGAGATGAAATAGTTAATGTTCGATATGAAATAGTCCTATAATCGAATATTTGAAAATCAATTGCGTATGAAAATTTGAAGTGAAAAAAAAAAAAAAACAAAAAAAAAATTATGGATCTGTTTTGAGGAAGCAGTGGTTTTTATGCTTTTTATGCGTCGCACTTTCATCCGCGTTCCACGACGTTAAGAAAGTTTAGCCATATATCTACATGACATAATGAGTATACTTTGTTATGAGTTTGTGCAGAAGTAGGTCAGATGATTATTACTGCGATTTGACATAGCTGACGCATAGATTGTTTCAGAGACGAAAACGATAAAATAAAAAATAACTATTCAGTGAACATAAAATCAAAGCTGCTACTTTGTTGTGGAAAGTACGTTAATATTTTTGGCCACATGTTACCTACGTTAAGAAATTTCCAACAACTATTTTAAACTTGAACAGCCTTAAGTTTAATATCGATACGTTTACATTGCGATAAACTAATAAAACCGAGTGTAATAACGCAAGTATTTTGAAAATTGATTTGTACAGTTAATGCCCAACGCTCTACGAACTTGTCCGATAGAACGACGAGTATAAAGAAGAGAAATGTAATATTACTTGTAATATTATTATTAACATCGCTTAAAGCGTCGTTTGTAACCTTAGAACTTTCATTTTATAAAATGTTTTATTATTTTTTCTAATTTAAATTACATAGCTGTCAAATAAACTTTTTATGTTATACTTTATGTTAAATAACAATTGTGATGGGTGTCTGACTGAGGGATGGGGAGAGAAAGCTTGAGAGGCCTCAAATGTCATGAATATAATAAAAAATTTCATTTTATTTTTCCACATTAAATTGTAAAAACTTCTTCTAAATATTTTCCTTAATATGTGAAAGAAATCGGATTACACGGAAAAATTTCGTTTTACATTCTTCCTACCTTAAGCATGACATTTACAATGCTTTTTATTTAAAGTACATTACCTTTCTTAATATATTCCTTCAAGTTCTTCGGACTGCTAAGGCTTCCTGCAATTCAAACTAAGTATCCTTACTATAAAATCCCATTATTAATTTAACACGAGAATATCTCTGTACTTGCGTGCATACGAGTAAAATAAAAAAAAAGTATGCTACACAAAACTCTATATCTCCTGCATCGCTCTCTCTCTCTCTCTCTCTCTATTACTGTGAAAATCACCCCTTTCTTTAAACTAAACCTTTCTCACTGAATATTTAAATGTTCATTGCCGTTCTTTCGCATTTACCAGTATTTATAAAATCCGACATATCTACATATGAATAAATATGTATAAATATAATTATTAAAGTTGTACATTAGAATATTAAAGTATAATATTTAATAGTTTTACTTGCAGTTGTTTTATACTACTTTTATTATTTCACTTTATTTAATTATAATTTTATTATATATACACATAGTTTATTATATTAATTTTTAATTAATTAAGTTTGTGAAAATGCATGTTGTCATAAAAATTTTAATTTTGTTGTATTTTAATAAATTTACTTGAAAATTAAGTAATATTAAGTTGAAAAGATTTTATTTTAGCACAACTTTACTTACATTAAAAGAAAATTATTTTTAATTTTTTCTAAAATATTGGATTTAGATTTAAATCATTCATATAATATTCTATTTATATAATTGAATAATAAAATATAATATTCAAATATGTTTTAAAATATACTTTTTTAAATTACTTCTTCGCTTGGACAAATTCACTTGAAAAATATTTTTAATATTCTTTAATGTAAATATTGTGACTGATAAAGTTTTAACTCGTATTTGAAAATAAATTGAATGTCCAATAATTCTTTTTATAATAATATTACTTATTGAGAATTTTCATGCTTTCTTATTTATTTTTAGATACTTTATTCGTAAATGGGTATATTATACGGTATATTCAACTAATGACGTAGTAGTTTATGTTGATTTATTTGGAGGAAGATTAGCAGCAACCGTATGTTTTTTTCTTTTATCTGAACTAATCCGTATTATATTTTAAAAGACATGTACAAAAGAAAAAAAAAAAAAATTATTATAAGTACTGTAATTATTGAATATTGACAACTGTTTAAGAAAAGGTTGATATTTCACATTTAATTTGATGAGCGATAAATTCATAAGAATTATCTAAAATCAAATAAATACGTATTGAAAAATAGATGAATAATAAATATATTTAAATTATAAGTTGTGATAAATTAAATGATTAATATATTTATATGTGATAACCTACATTTATATAAAACTTATTTAGAATTTCTTATTTTATACATTCATGTGAGTTTTTTTATAAGTTTATAAATTATGACGCAAAATTATTTATATTTTATTGACTCAATAAATTTGTAAATAGCAATAAAATTGCTATCAAAATCATTTATAACTCAAAACTAAAATTATTTCAATAAATAATAAAATTTTCAATTTACTAAAACTACTGAATTTATTTTTGTTCATTTATTTATTCTTACTTTCTGAACTCATCTTGATTAATTAAGATTAGTTTAACATTATTATATTATTATAGATTATGATTATTATCCATTAGACTCTGAATATCATAAAGAAAGCAGCGACAAAAAGCGAATATAAAACATCAAAGAGGATTTTACTATTTCCTTTATTAGAATCTTTTTTTCAAAACTTTACTTCTATTTAACTAATACGTAACATTATATTTAAATAAATTGAAATAATGATAATTTTTGTTCTTTATAATGATAATTAAAACATTGAGTGATATTTTTACAAAGTGCAAACATTATTTTATTAACTACTTTAGGATTTTTAATAGAAAAAAATTGACTAAGTATGATCCATAATTTTCCGTATTAGTTAAAGAAAGTCAAACGAATAAACGAATAAAATCATTTTTATAATATTCGTATAATTTATAATAAATGTACAACATTCACATTGTCAACGTTATAAAATGCATTTTATTCTTAAAAACACATTTTACCTTTGCTTTTGTTTCTCTAAAAATGTTTTCCCAATATAATTCGACTAACTTTTAGTTATAAATATTAAAATAAACATTTTTTTTTTTTTTTAAATTCTTTATTAATACGGGAATATTATTTTAATATATTGAATAAGAAAAAACGTACGAGATTGTTAATTTTTTAAAATACAAGGAATTAGAGTCGCTCTACCTTACTTATTCACTATGTTAATGCATTTAGCGAGCAGCTTCAACCTTAGAACAGTAAGTTTTTGTTAAATCAACATTGTCATATACCTTATTATTTTACTAATGTTTTTATGTTCTGCTGCCATATAAATGTCGCAGAAATTATTTCACTATTCTTTGGAATACAAGGACGCGGTTGAAAATATTCCGTTCACTTTCAATGATAAGAAAATATAAGCGAGTTATTTACATCGAGATAATTCAAAATCGTAGAATAAATAATAAATAAATAAGTAGAAATTAATGTACATTCATTACATACGTAATATATCATCAATTTGCCTATCAGGTCACTTCAATCTAACTATTGTAGCCTTTATTTGCTTATTTACATTTATTTAATAGAACATTAGAATATCCTATACTTTGCTAGGATGTCAATTGATGTAGTAGTCTATATTGGTAAAAACAGAGTAAAAGGAAGAAATCAAATTCAGACTACAAATAAATGTACATTGTTTGACAAGACTTTTAAAACTTACAAGACTTTGAGAAACTGACAGCGACTTACTATAAGAAAATACGCTATTTCCCTTGGTAAGGGAACAAAAATACCCTAAAGACGAAAAGTAGAAAATAATAAGTAGTAAGCAAAAGTGAGCACGTTTAATTATTTCTATCGCAAGCTTTCGTACACAAAATTCATACTTGACAGTCGATTATTCCTTGAAGAACGCATAAGATTGAATAAACGAATAAATTTGTTAAAAATTATAAAATTTTCTTGAAAGGACGAACCCGATATATATATATATATATATATATATATAGATTTTCACTAAATAGTAAACAAATATTTATATCTTTTTTAGCAACCACATTGTTTTGCAAAGTATTTTTAAATCAAAATATTATCTAGTAATTTCATTTTTAGAGTTGAAAATAAAATAAAATGAAAGTTAGAAAATTGATAAAAAATGCTTTTAAATCGAAGTTAAATTATTATTTAATTAAATTAAATTTAAATTATCTATTGAAAAGTACAGATACTTCGGAAGTAATTAATCCTACAATAAAAAATCTGTATATTCTTATAAAGTTCTTTTGTCATCTCCGAAAAAAAAAAAAAAAAAAAAAAAAAAAAAAAAAATTTTAATCTTCGAATAATAAAATTTTATAACCAAGAACAGAAAATATGAATTCGTA